TTTTTTTTTTAACAGAGTGTTTGTTTGCCTTAGTATCCAAGTAAGGTCTATACATTGTGACTGGTTGACACATCTTTTGTCTTTTTTATCTATATATTTCTACTCTAGCATTCTCTTATTCTCTTTTTTCACTCAATTTTTTTGAAGAATCCAGGTCATTTGTCCTGTAGAGCTTCCCACAATCTGGATTTTGCTGACTATATCCCTATGGTGTCGTTTACCATGTTCTTCTGTCCTCTGTGAATCTTATAAAGTGGTAGATCAAGAGGTCTGAATAATTTCAAACTAAAATTGTTTTTCCTACAACAAAATGTTCTATCAGGGACACATCCTGTCTGGTTGTCTCTCTTTTGTGATGTTAGTCACTCTTGATGATTCATTAATTATTAGGGGTTGCAAAATGGTGACATTTTAATTGTCACTTTTTCATTTATTGGCGGGAATACTTTTACAGAGAAAGTCCTCTTTTTTGTGATTTGTTAACTCAAAGGAACAGTTGGTACAGGAAAGGTAAGATAAATGCCTAATTCTTCCTCCTAATCCTTTTTTAGTTTTCAAAATAATGTATCAGTTCACTAGCCTCCTCCAACAATGATCACTTAGTTTTCTTATTTACATGCTTTAGTTTCATTATGAACTTATGGATTTAAATATATTTAATGTGTTTTAACCCAAAGCAATTGCTATTATTACTGGTGCTCAAATTGGCCCATTTTTGGAGCCTCTTCAAGTTGGTTCCTGAGTCCTTTTTATATGATTTAAAATCTTTGACACAGCTCACATCATACTTAATTGTGAAACTGAATGTTTTCCCTCTAAGATGAGGAGCAAGACAAGGGTGTTTATTCTCACCATTTCTATTCAACATTGTACTGGTGGTTCTAGCCAGTGCAATAAGGCAAGAAAAAGAAAAGGCATCTAGAATGGAAAAGAAGAAGTAAAACTCTATTTATTCATAGGTGACTTGATTATAAATGTAAAAGACCCTAAAGAATCTGCAAAAAAATTTTACTGGAACTAATAAATGAGTTTAGCAAAGTCATAGAATACAAGATCAATATGCAAAAATCAAATTGTGTATCTATCTATAAGTGGAAATGTGGGAATGAGCAATCCAAAAAGGAAATTTAAAGTAAACAATTCCAGTGCTCACTTTAGCAGCACATATACTAAAATTGGAATGATACAGAGAAGATCAGCATAGTGTCTACACAAGGATCACACACAAATTCATAAAGTGTTCCATAGTTAAAAAATAAAAAATAAACAGTTCCATTCACAGTAGCATCAAAAGGGATAAAGTACTTAGATAAATTTAATTTGTAAAGTATAAAACCTGTACTACAAAGTCTTACTGAGAGAAATTAAAGATTTACACAAACGGAGAAGTACTCCATGTTCTGTGATTGGAAGTGATTAGAAGATTCAATATTGTTAAGGTGGCAGTTCTTTCCAAATTGACTTTTAGACTCACTGCAACCTCTATAAAAATCCCAGCAGGCATTTTTGTTGTTGCAGAAATTGTCAAACTTACCTTAAAAGTTTCTACAGGAATACAAAGGACCTAGAATAGCCAAAACAATTTTGAAAAGTAAGAGCAAGGTTGGAGGACATATAGTCCCTGACTTCAAAACTTACTACAGAGCTGCAGCAATCGAGACAGTATAGTACTGGCATGAGGATGGAAAACAGAGCAAAGTATGAAGTCTAGAAATAAAGTCTTATGTTTATGGTCAATTCATTTTCATCAAACGTGCAAGTGTAATTCAGTGGGGGAAAGGATAGCCTCTTTTTTTTTTTTTTTTTTTAAACAGAAACAAAAACAAAAACAAATGGTGCTGGAACAATTGGATGTCCATGTGCCAAAAATCAGCTTAGGCCCTTACCTCACACCGTACACAAAAGTTAACTCAAAATGCATCATAGACTTAAATGTAAAAGCTAAAACTCTAAAGCTAGGAAGAAAACACAAGAGAAGATTTTTGTGACCTCAGGTTAGGAAAAAGAAATCCTAGATATGATATTGAAAGCATGATTCATAAAAGAAAAAAGTCAATAAATTGGAATTTTACCAAAGTTAAAAACTTTTGCTCTTTAAAAGAAACCCATAAAGAACAGGAAAAGTCATGGACTGGGACAAAACATTTGCAAATCCAATATCTGATAAGGGACTTCTATCTAGATTTTATTGAAAAAGCTCTTACAACTCAAAAAGAAGAACACAACTCAATTAAAAATGGGCAAAAGATTCACATAGATGTTTCACTAAGGAACTTCTATGAATGGCTAATGAGGACATGGAAAGATGCTCAGCACCATTAATCATTAGGGAGATGCAAATGAAAACACTGCTACACACCCAGGAGGATGGCCGTAATCCAAGAGACAAGACAATGTCAAATGCTGGGAAGGTTGTGGAGATGTTGGAATCCTTTCATTTCTAGTCGGAAAGTAAAATGGCGCTGCCCTGTTGGAATACAGTCTGGCAGTTTTATGTTTATGTTCTCCGATGTATCTTTCACCTGTTGTTGCTGGGTTTTTAATCATGCTTAGGACGTTTTCTCCACTTTCACGTTATAGAGAAATTTACCTATATTTTCTCCTCTAGTAGTGTGATTTTATTTACTACATTTAAATTTCTGGTCCATTTGAAATTCATGCTGCTGTACAGTGTGAGGGATAGATCCAATTTTATCTTTTTCCATATGCCAATATCATTATTAAAAAGTCAGTCCCCTTCCCTCACTGACTTGCAATGTCTCCTTTAGTGTATACTAAATTTGCATATGCAAGTGGGAATATTTCTGGATCTCCTATTCTGTTCCCTTGGTCTTTCTATGTATTCATATATCAGTTCCATACTTTTGAATAGGACGTGTTAATGACTGGTAGGGCTAGCCTCTACACCTCGGTCCTCTTTATTAAAGGTTTTTCTGACTATCACTGGTGTTTTTTCCTTCCCAAAAAATTTTATAATAAAATTCTCTAGATCCAGCAAAAAATCCTGATGGGATTCTTGTCATTACCTTTTATTTATAAATTAATTTTGGGAAGATTGACATTTTTATGATCTTCGCTCTTCCTAATCAAGAACATGTTATGTTTTTGCATTTATTGAAACCTAATTTGTCCTGTAGACTTTTATAGTTTTTCTCCTCAGGTTTTAGGAATTTCTTATTAAATTTATGCCTAAGTATTTAATTTTCTTTTTCTCTATAGCATTTAGTGTATTATGTAAGTCATACAGTATATATATGATGGAGTCCTCATCATTCCTTCTGTTTTATTTGTGTGTGTGTGCATGTGTGAGCATGCGCATATCACACACACACACACACACACACACACACAAACGATTGATTATGTATCTTAATTTTATACCTGCCTGTTTACTTTTAGAATTTGCAGTAGTTTTTCCATTGATCCATGATCTTTTTACCGTATTGCATGAGTGTTACTGGTTTTGCCAGCCATTAGTTTCTCAGATTAAAAGGTTATTTGGCTAGAAGCCTCCCTCATTAGAATGAAGCTCCCTGTTTTCCATCGTTTTCCCTTGATATTCCTCTCTCTGCTGCAGTGGAGGACTCAGATTGTTTCCTGAGGCTCTCTTAGACTGTCAGCTTTAGTCTGGGCTTCCCCCAGGAGATCCTGAGATGAAGACTTGCATACAAGCAGTTTATTTGAGAGGTGGTCCCAGGAAACACCAGCAGGGGTCATGAACGTGAGAAAGGAGGGAGAGGAATACAAAAAAAAAGGCTCTTATCTAGCAGGTCTCCACTTGAGCAACTGGAACGTAGACTCTGGAAGACCATATAGAGCCCCCAGAGTCATCCTAAGCATGGGGTGAAGATGCCTGGGATTGCCCCAGAGTTATCCCAATTGTGAGGTGAGGAAGCCAGGACTTGCTGGGTGTGGGGTGCTTTCAGGGCCTTAAAGATCGCCCAGCCAGTAGAGCAAACCAGGACTGGCCCCACAGTCTATGCTAACCCAGTAGACTTTGGGGGAGGCTCTGGAGTCACACTGACTCCGACTGAATCCTGCTCAGATGCTTTCTGGCTACAAAGGCTTGGTTCCCTCATCTGTATGTTGGGAATGATATTACCTCATGGAGTTGCTGTGAGGATGTGGACACTGTGGACAAAGACACAGAGATGTACCTATGGATGTCGATGTGATGTAGGTCGGGTGTCGACATCGAGACACACAGTGGATGCAGATGAAGCTAGAGGCACAGGCAGATCTAGACACAGATGCCGGTGTAGACATACACATGGAGGTAGACAGAGACACAGGTACAGATGTGGGCGTAGGCACGCGTGTGGCCTGCTCCTCCCATGCCAGGCCCTCGCTGGGACTGGGGATCAGTAAGCAGCAGGACTTCCATGCCTCCGACATGACTCTGTCCTCAACTCTATCCCCATTTCCCTGCTCTTCTCAGGTGTGTGCTACCTTTTATGCTGTCATGAGATGTACTCAAGCCCTCCCCTGACTGGCCCACCCCTCCCTCTTCTCCTGGACCCCTTCCCACCAGCTTGCTCCAGATTATCTTCTGGGGCGGCAGTTCAGCCTCGTTTTCTTCCAGCTGTGGGGCCCCTCTGTAGTCTGGTTTTCTCTTTGCCATTCTTAGGACCTGAGAACTGTGGAGGGAGGGACGTTCCCCATCACACAGAGCAGAGGCAAGTTCTAATAAAATCAGAGTGCTGGATTAAACATGATTAGGTTGCTCATTATTGCAGGTTGAAGTGAAGATTCCATTTATTAAGGCCATTTAAGGTGGACACTTAGGTTCCCTGTGGGATTGTGTCCATCTCAAAGTGTCAGGTGACAGGGCCATTCTCAGGTTCTCAGAATGCAAAGGGCAGGTAACTGGAGGAAGATGGGTTTCCTTAGGTGGGTGTAGCTGTGGGTTCTGACTGTGGACATTGACAGTATTTCGGGACGTTCATGATTGGGTCATACCAATCATGATCTTGGGACAGTTGGCCTGAATACACTGCTGAGGTTCACTGACCATGTTTATTTTTTAATTTTTAAAAATATTTTATTTATTTATTTGACAGAGAGAGAGAGCACAAGCAAGGGGGAGTGGCAGACTCCCTGCTGAGAAGGAGCCCAATGTGGGGCTCGATCCCAGGACCCTGGGATCATGACTTGAGCCGAAAACAGATGCTTAACCAACTGAGCCTCTCAGGTGTCCCACTGACCGTGTTTAGAAAGGGCGGGAGGATGGAGCAGATCTATGTGAAGCCTTTTCGCTCACAAGCAGCTGGATTGGATTGATGTTGCAACAGACTAGTCCCCCCAAGGGGGGTCCCTGCAACACTCTCATGGATGTCTTCATTCCTGTGTGGAGGGAGCGAGACGAATGCAGAACCTGTCGATTTGATCAGATGCATTCCTTTGCTTACTCCTGAAGCAACGGCCCTGAACACCGTAGTTGGACATTGCGCTCTCCCAAGGGTACAAACTTAGGGGGTATAGCTCAGTGGTAGAGCATTTGACTGCAAGGGTACGAACCTAGAGGAGGGCTGAAGTGGAAAGAGGCAGGCACAGCTGGCCCATGTTCAAGCTTACTTGCCATTTAGAAATGGAAGAATACTGTAAGGTTTTCAGTGCAGACTTGTAAGTAAGTGCGAGACAGACGGTCAGGTGACAGCATTGTGACAAGTGTGTGAAGCCATTTCCCAATTGTTTTAGTCGGCCAGACTTAGGGAGGAAACCAGCACTGACACAAACCAATTGCACCATGATTGGCAAACAATGAAGTGTTGGGAGTCACTGTTGAAAGTCTATAATTTCCAATGGAATTGCTGTTGGGTCATCAGCTTGCTACCAAAGGACACAGCTGGCTGGGTGGGAATGGCAATTAGCCGCTGTTACCCCAGTGTGACATTTTTCCCCTATAGACGATGGAAAAGTAAGACCTCCACTGGCCAGTGTTGGGTGCCTGCTTGTGAAATGCCCCCTCGTCCAGGGGAAGGGGACACTGGGGTGGGAGCTCTTGCCCCGGGCCACGGGGAAGTTTGGCTGGCCTGACCCTCACCTCCGCTGTAGCAGAGACACAGAAGCCCACTGGCCCTGGAAGAAACCACCTCCTTTGCCTGGTTTGCGTAAAGAGCCCTTGCGCCACGGCTGGGAGTGAGATGTGCCTGGGCTGGTCTCCTGGGCGCACAGACTCATCCATGCCCCTTCCTCTGGGTTGGGGTTTCACTCTCAGAGGGACGCGGAGCTGGCCATGGGGTGTGAGCAATG